AAGTAAGTAAGTAAGGCAGAGGTAAGATCATTTGAACCACTGGTAAATGGTCCAACAGGTCCAGCATTCTGTGCTTGGATATTATACACACAAACAACTTTTACAATTTTTTCATAGCTTCAGTCCCACTGAGTTAACTTTTTGTTATTTTCACTTAGTAGATAACAGGAGTCTGTGGTAGGAAAATGTTCAGTGAAGCTCTGGCAGCAAGAGAAGTATTCAAGTGAAGTCTAGGAGGAAATGTTCCAGGAAGACAGGATGGCTGGGGCAAAGGCCCTGGGGTGGCCCTGAGTGTTGGAAGCAGAAAGTCGGCTGGACTGGCAGGTGAAGCCCCCTCTTTCTCTGCACCAGATCCTGGCCACCAGGCTGTGGGGCTTGGAGTAAGACTGGTCCATGCCCACTATCCAGGGCCTCTGCTGGGGCACTAGCTTTTCTGTCTTGTGCCTAACATGTCTGTCCTGCTAACCTGGGAGTTCAGCCATTGGTCTCACCTATTTAGAGCCTGTCGCAGTGCTATATAGTAAAGAGGTTCTGGTTATTTAAAGCAGAGGCTATTGAGTAACGGCAGTAAAAGATCCACATAATTTGATCCGCCACACCTCTCAGACTTATTTTTCCATTACACACAATTTTAATGACTTAGTTGAATAGATAAAGGAGATGAGCTATTTTATTAATTTACAACAGATGAGAAAGAGCAAAGTACAAATGATGGGGTATGTGGTGGCAGCTACTGTCCCTAAATGGCTTGCTCACCTGGGTCTATTGAATAGAAAAACAGATCTATGACACTTAAGGAATTATGTGGCTTTAATGGGATTTGTTAAATGATTATAAATCATTATGAGTCAGCAAAACAGTCTGCTTCTAGCAGAAAGTGTGCATCTTTTATTTAGAGACAGAGTCTTGCTATGTTGTCCGGGGCAGGGTCGGGTGGGCAGGGAGATCTCAAATTCCTGAGCTGAAGGAATTGGTCCCAGCCTCCCTAGTGGCTGGAACCACAGGTGTGCGACCAAGCCTGGCTTTTTAAAAATTTCTTCAGGCCTGGTAGAGTACATGCTTAGCATGTACAAGGCCCTGGGCTCCATCTCTGGGATTGCAAAATAAATAAATAATTATTTATTTATCACAAAATATTTAGCCAATTAAGAATCTCAGTCTAAAGTGTTAGATTTACCCAGAGGAAACTAAGTTGTAAAAGATGGTAACAGAAAAATGGAATGGGTTTTAGGTGAGGTACAGATGCTGGGTTTAAATTCTGGCTGTGTCACTCACTCACTGTGACCTTGGGTAGGATACTTAATCTTTCTGTATCAGTTTGTTCATCAATAAAGTGGAGATGATAAACTTATCTCAGGAATATGAGTCAATCTGTGAGAGGCAGCCAGAATCGTATCTGGCACAGTGAGCAACGTGTGTTAACTTGTTGGTGGTCATGGTGATCATTTATGGATTAGCCAGTGAGTTCAAATCTGGCTATAGATTTCAAATCCAGAGCCCACTTTCACTATTCCTCCCTCCCACCAAACCATTCAGTTTCAAAAAAAACCTTCGCATAGTGAAATATTCACTTAAAAAGGACATAGAACTTGTGGATTTACCATCAAGCAAAGGATCATACCAAGAAGCTGGGTCAGGGGTCAGGTCTCAGGCTCCCATGATTGCCTCCCTCCTCCCCCAAGAGTCTTGGGTAGTGAGCCCTCCTTTCCCTCAGGATATTACCACTTAGATTTCGATTCCTGGTTGTGAAAATTTAGTTTGAGCTGATTTTGGAATTTTATCTAAATGGAATCAGTGTGAACTCTTGTGGTTTCTTTGACTTTGGAGATATCCATTTAGTTCTGTGTAGTAAATATTCTTTCATTTTCATATATATTATCTAGCCACTTTTCAACTACAAAAAATGGTTCCATAACAGTACTTCATGCACTGAGAGTTTTCAGTTAGTGACACCCGAGCTCTTGAAGGCCGTGTTCTCCCAGGTGTTCTCTTGGTGAACCTAAATACATATGGCCAGGAGTGGATGCTTGTCTCTCACTCTGGTTTCTCCTTACTCTCTTTAAAGTGTCATTCTTTTATGGTCAATACACGGTTTATCTTGTATACGAAGCCTTTTCCTACCCTAGTTCATGAATATTTGCCTATACTGTGCTGTCTTTTAGAAGTTCAATTGTTTTGCCTTTTACCTTTAGATACATTTGTGTTTGTGGTGTGAGATTAGAGGTTCAAGTTTCATTCATTACCTCGTGCGTGGATTACTTCAATACTTCTGCAGGGTTACTGTTGTAAATCAAGTGCCCATATATGTTCTGGGTTCTCTATTTTGAACCCAGGAGATCAGAAAGGGATCTTGACACAGTATGAGCATTACAGGGTTATGTGGCTATCCTTATAGTTAGGTAGTCTTGGACAAGGCTCTCAGTTTTCATTTTAGTGATATCACTTCATCTATTAAGTTATACTTTGTAACACAGCAATAGGTACCGAAAAAAGTACGCTGAGCTGGGGGTGGTGGTGGTGCATGCCTGTAATTCCAGTGACTCAGGTGGCTGAGGCAGAAGGATCACAAGTTTGGGGCCATCCTCAGCAATTTAGCAAGCCTCTAAGCAGCTTAATGAGACCCCCATCTCAAAAACAAAAAAGCAACAAAAACCTGAAACGAATTGAAAAAATGGTCTACATTTTTGATTTTAGAAGGTTGCATAGAAACAGACTTCTTAAAGCAATAAATATGCTGGGCCCAGTGGCACTGCCTGTAATCCCAGCAACCTGGACATTGAGATGGGAAGATCTCAACATTTGAGAACAGTCTGGGCAATATAGTGAGACCATCTCAAATAAAAGCATTGGAGCTACAGAATAGCTCAGATACAGTGCCCATGACTTCAACCTTGTACAAGGGAGAGAGAGCAACCTTGTACAAGGGGGGGGGGTGTGGAGAAACAGTATTCTGTAGCTGAGAAGAAGATGAAAATATTCTTTGCACACTATATTCTACTAAAGGGAGAGATTTTATTTTTTTGGTAATGGGGATTTAACCTAGGGGTGCTATGCCTCAGAGTCAGATCCACAGCTCTTTTATGTTTTATTTTGAGACAAGATATCACTAAGTTGCTTAGGGCTTTACTAAGTTGTTGAGGCTGGCTTTGAACCTGTGATCCTCTTTCAGCCTTCAAGTCTCTGGGATTACAGGCATGAGCCACTAGGCCATGCTCTAAAGGGACAGATTTCAGATGTGCACAGTAACACATGTGCATACTATTTCCTTTCCTCCACACTGTTCCAGAAGTAAATACAAAGATTACATCTAAAACTAGAATCATATACTATCCCTGATTTTATAACTTGAGATCCACATGAATTTAGAAAAAATCCTGGATCAAACTTGTGTTTTGCCTTTTTGATTGAAATGTAGAAGGAAGACCTCTTTGCAAATGTTTTGAAAATGTTTTCTGCACATTAACTAGTTCCTTGTTTAGTGATGGAGAAGTAATGGTCCCACAAAGACCATAGTCACCAGGGGAGGTTCATGGAATGAAGGTCTAGTCAACACCTGCTCCCTTGAACCTGGGTTGGTGTGTCTGCAGTCTGTCTTGCCCATGGTTAGAAGTAAAGCTGAACTCAAGAAACACACCTGGGCACATTGAATGCTGCTTTAGAAGGGGCTAGTTGACCCGAGTCCACCTACTGCCATCCCTTTCAGAGTCACCCAGGCTGATTAGCTTCCTCCAATGCCCACTCCCCATGCAACATCAGTACTCATGGACAGTACCTCAGGCTGTGTGACCTGTCCCAAACTTCCAGATGAGTGAGGCTTCCCACCTATCTTGTCCCAACACCAGAGATTCCTATGGAAACCAGCATGGCTGTCACACAGAGTCCTAACAGCCAAGCACGGTTCTGTATGTAGAAATACTCTTAACTGGGACCAACATTCTCATTTAACTCAAGCAAATGGAAGCAGCAGAAGGGGGAATTTATTTCAGGGAGTTTGGCCCAGAAGTCATGCTTAACCCCTGGCTTCTCAGCCCCAGGGAGCCCAGCACTGCAGGTTCCTGGAAGGGGCACTTCTAAGAGCTCTTGGTTTTGGAATGAAACCAGCTTGTTCCAAATGGGGTGCTTTGACTACTAGTTATGGACAACTAGCAAACTGGCTGGTTAAGTCTCACTTCCCCATCTATAAAACCAGGATAGCAAGGCAGATGAAGGGGCAGGAATTTCGGAATAAGACCCAGGTCTCGCACCCCACCCCCCACCCCTGGGTCATGCCCCTAACTGCTATCCTTAGCTAGGAAGGGAGCTTCTCATAGCCCCAGGAACAGTCAGTGTGTGTACATTGGAGACTTGTCTGCCCAAGTAACTGGGAAGCTGTTATGATAAGGACCAGAATGGGTTTCCCGGGACAGGTCTTTCTCAGCTGAGTGTGGAGATATGTAAGCACACGGGACACCACACCGGGCAGAGCAGGACAAAGCCAGGCAAACCCAGGGCAAGCTCCCAGAAGGGGCGTTGGGAGCAGCCTCTTGCCCTCCCGCGGGCTGGCCAGCCCACCTGGGTGCAGACCCAGGGCCGCGTGGGCAGGCGCTAGGCTATGTTGAGGCTGCCCAGGGCCACCTCCAACAATCCGGGCTTTGTTGTCGAATTTGCCCCTGAGTTTCCAGTTGGCTTTTATCTGTGTCTCCGAGTCTCTGACCCCTCCAGCCTCAGGAGCGAGACTGGGAGAGTCAGGCTGCTGGGGAGGGAAGGCGGGCTGCAGGGAGCGGAGCTGGCGGCTCTCAGGACCTCGTGCGGCCAGCGCCCCAGCGCCGGGCGGGGCTCGGCACGCGGGGCGCAGACGGGGCGCAGACGGGGCGCGGGCCGTTCGGGCCGTTCACGGGCCGGACCGTCTGAGGTTTCTCCGCAGTCCGCAGCCCGCAGCCTGGCCGGCCGCCTGTCCTCCCTCTGCGCAGCGGGCGAGGTCACGATGGGCTCATTAAGCCGGCGGCAGGTAGGCAGTGCCCCGGCGGCTGCAGGCGGTCCTGGAATGTGCGAGGGGCGTGATGACAGCGACTGCCGCCGGCCTCTTTGCGTAACACCTTCGCTATATATACCCGGCGCGCCGCTGCGCTCCACCTGGCTGCCTCCTTCTGTGCCTTACCTGCAAAGGGAGCGCTGGTGAGTACCGCTGCCGGGCCAGGGCGCTGCCTCCCCACCTCTCTGGCTTGCAAAGCCATTCTCAATTCCTTTAGAGCCCTGGATGCTGACTTCAAGGAACTTGGTTGGCTTTGGGCTACGGAAGAGAAAATAACCTTTTAGACATTTTAAAGATTTTTCTTAAGTGTATGGCTCTTACCACAACTCTGATTGCTACACCAGGGAATTCAAAAAGGTGTCCCAACTCTCGGGGGAAGCACCAGGTAACCCCTTAGGAGTCCAGATGGCTGTGCTCACTTTTTGGCTGGTCTGTAACTAGCTGTGTGACTCAACAGATTCCTGTGAGCCCTTGGGGTGAAGTTTCCTTCTCTTCACAAGAAAATGGGACCATCTCAGATTGCAGTGTTTACAGATTGAGCCCTCTTATCTCCCCATCTCAGGGTCTTTCCTGCCCTGAAAATGCTAGGTTTGTGGTGGCTCCGGTGATGGGGTGTCTCCCCCGCGTGACTGCCTCACACTTGTTTGCAGAGTTAACTTATCTAAGGTGACTGAAGTCAGACCTAGTTTGCTGTCTCCCGTAGGACAGGTGTCCATTATCATAGGGCCTGTCCTTCAATTGTCTTGGGAGAACAGGGTCCACAATTTGTTTTAAAGGCAAGAGGATGGTGGCCGAGGGGTGGTTGATGACTAACTGATGTGTACAGAGGTGTTTGGGTTGGAGGAAATGAGCATCTTCAAATCAGAAAGAAGGCACCAGTTATGGAGTTAACCCAGGTTGCCTGGCACAGATGCCTGTACAGGTAGCTGGCACTGACTGAGGAGAGTTGGAATCCTCCTTTCCCTTTGTGAGGTGTAAATGTCCCAAACATGTTTTTCTTGGCAGTTTGTGGTTGGTTGGTTGGTTGGCCCCGACTGCTTTCCCCTCCCATTCTGGCCATTCTTTAACTTGTTCTGTGTTGGGTTTTTTAAAAGATGTGCCTCATAGCGATAGTCATTGTTTCAGATGGTTAAGTGACTGTTGGAATCTTTTGTCTCATGTCAGCTGATTTTTTTTCAGCTTTTTTTTTCCTCTAGTTTTTTTAGTCTTGTAAAATGGGTAGCAAGAAGGGTACCTTTGTAAAAGATTTGGATGATAAACAATTTGGCTTCCCCTAAGCCCTTCCTAAATCATTCAGCCATCTCGCTGAAACTGGGGTTTCCGGATTACTAGATACAAAATGGACGGAGGAGACTGAGTTCAGTTAGTGAAGAAAACAGTCTTTCAGAAACAGTGACTTGGAATAAACTGGATTTTAATATTGCTTTCAGCCATCTTCCACTCTCACCCCTATCCCCATATTCATTCTGGGGACAGGATATGAACAGCAACAGAAATAGGCAGGACATCCCAAGGAATATTTCATCTCAGTGAATTAAATTTTCAAAAGTGCAAAATTTTTGTTATGTTTACAATTTCAGCCCTTTTAATCCTCCTAATACAATGCAAAGTAATTGTTACAGTAATGGGTTAATTATGATTTTATGATTTATGATTTTATTAAACTGTAAATATAAGCAGGAAGTGAACTATGATGGGATGGTGTGGCAATTGGGCCCCAGTTTAAAGTAAGAGGATAAATGTCTTAAAGAATCTTAGTGCTTTTCAACACATCTAAAACCATTCATGACCTGAGGCCCTGAACCCACATTGCTTCTTGTTGCTGTGTCAAACATAACCCTCCATTGCGTGATCAGCATGTCCTTGAGGGTGTATTTTACCTTGTGATAGCTGAAGGAAAGTAACCATCACCCTCTTAGGAATTTTTAAAGTCTTGGGTCATTCTTTCAAAGTAAGAATTTCTGGGGGGTGCTGAGAACATGAACTGCATGAATTTGAATTGTCTCTTGAGTGTAGTGTGTGTTACTTTAAGCAACGAATTTCCCTGTGCCTCAGTTTCCCCCTCTATAGGTAGTGAGGAAGACTAAAGAGTAAATATTTATGTCAAGTGCTTGCGAGGGTGAATGAGACCCTTCACGCACAGAACCTCCAGAGCTACTCTAACCCTTTGGCAACGTCCTACAGGTCATCTTCCCTGTGCTGTGGAGACCATTGCCTAGAGGGAGATGTGACTCTGTCCTGGTCTCTGCAGGACCACTGTCCTTGGCTCTGCTCCCCCCATTCAGGTTGCCTTGGCTGCTGCTACTCTGAAAACAGGTGGCCCCAGAACAGGTCCTGGTTGGAAGGCCACAGACAATGCAAACTTGTAGGGGTTGGATGACTGCCAGGTGCCCTACATATCTCTGCTTCCCAAGTCCCAGAAGAGCCCAGAAGCTGACTCTCTTTGGTCAGTGTTGTTGGCATTGGTTGCATGTGTGCACCCCGGAAGTGGAGCCAAGAGGGTTAGACAGTGTGGGTGGCGTGGGGCAGGGAAGCACATGTGTGATCACGAGGCCTCATCTGCCGGCTCTTTCCTGGGCATTACTAGCACCACGCTGCCTAAATGGAGGGTTTTCCCTACCTGTTCCACCGCTCTGGCTGGTGGCAGGAATGTTCTGGAGTATGGCCTTGGGCACGCAGGAAGGTGGCAGCTGCATGGGGGATGGGGATAGGAGAAAGACTTTGGAGGGGGCCAAGGGCTACAGGAACCCCTGGTGGTTCTAAAGTCTTCTCACTCGGCCAACAGGGTCAGTGTGTGCCATGTCCCTGGGAAGAGTGACTTCAGCTTCCTGCTGCAGCCTGTCTGCCCCATCCACTACCACCTCCTGGTTGTCCAAGTCTCCCAAAGGACTTGGGAGTTGCTGAGTCCAGGTCTCCGGTGTGCCTGAGGCCTTGTGGGACTTGGCAGCCTGTCATTAGAGCATTCTTGGCCCGCATGTCTGGTGTCTGCATGACTGTGCAGGAGTGACCCCTGCAGACTCAGCCAGCTCTCCCAGAAATACCAAGTCCTGGCCGAGCTGCCCTGGCACTTGGTTGGGGTCCCTGGTTATAGGGTCTATGGATAGGCTGGCTTTGAATCAAACAGTCCTTGGTTCATATCCTGACATACCCCCAGGTGGCTTTGAGACACATTGCTTAATTCTTCTCTGTCCCCCAATTTCATGTCCTACCCCCCCTTTCCTTGTTATAAGATTTCATGAGGTCACAAACCACATAGGGACTCCCCAATCACAAGACCCCTTTCTCACAAGCTTTGGTTCATTCTTAGCAAATATTTACTGTGAGTCCGGTGCTGAGCTGGGAGATGGTGTAGGGCTCAGCAGAACTGAGATGATTCTGTGCATTTCATGATTCTGTGCATTTCATTCATGATTCTGTGCATTTCAAGAGTTCCAGGTGGTCACTGCCAGGATCTGCTTGGGCCTCACACTTTTTATCAATTGGTTGTTGCCATATCTCTGAGGGAGATAACCATCCCATCATTGAGATGAAGAAACTGGTGCCTAGAAAGACTCAGGGTCCCAGTGAGGGGCAGCCTCTGCAGAGCCAGTCCTCTCTCCTCCAGGTGCTTGTCTTTGATCACTGCATGCCAAACACAAGGGTCTCTACAGAGGTGGCAAGTCCAGGGACCCAGAGGATCCCTGGAATGATTGCCTGGTCCAGGGGCTGATTGCTCCAGGCCCTCCCTCTACTCCAGAGCCCTAGCTGTAGTCTGCACTGGCTGACCTGCTGCAGACAGACTGGGGCTCTGCAGACTGGGAGGGCCAGGTGATTGGGGCCTGTGTGGCTGAGCTGCAGCCTGGGTTGTCTGATGGGGTTTTAGGAACCCTTTATTTCCCCACTTCCCTGGGTGCAGCTTGAGCTGTGGGGGTGGAGAGGACTGGGAGGGAGGGGTCAGCAGTCTTGAGAACTGGGCTGGGGTCAGATGGCTTCCTGAACATCTGTCCGAGGGGTCAGTATAAGGTGCGTGGACCTGCAGTTGCTCGGGGAGTATCAGCATCCAGCACCGTGAGCACCCAGGAAGTGATGGTGGGGGAGGATGAGGGTTCAGAAGCTGAAGTACTGAGGGAGGGCGCCTCTGCTCATGAAACCTGTAACACAGTTGGGCTCAAAATAGGGAAGATGGCTTCCAAGAAGGAATGGAGACTTTCAGTAGAAATAGTCTTTGCTTTTTGGCAGCACAAACAGTAAATGAAGCTTTGGAGGTGAATGGAGCCATCATGAGCCTCATGCAGGGACACTGAAGCCGCCTGGGTCACAGGCCACCCTATCTTGTTGCTTTCTGCAGTCAGATTCCTATGGGTGGCTGTCCAATTCCTTGTAGTATGAATAGAGTAAGTTACCTGGATGTTGAACCCTGGGCATGTCTTTCTGTATTCACTAGAAACCTTTCTGTTCAGTCCTTCAAAGAGCAATATTCTGACCAGTCATAGAAATCCAGCAAATAGATAGCCTTCCCATGCTGGCGTGACTGCTGGGAAGAACTGCCCAGCAGGGTAGCTGTGACATCCGGGTTGCAGTCCTTGATAGAGTTGCTGGATGAGCAACTCTTGGCCAATGCAACTTGCACATGGTGATGAGGGACAACCATCTGTCAGTAGGATCCAGGCTCCAGTTGACTTTGTAGGCCTGGTCACCATGGGTCAAGTGCAATTTTTCAGTGACCCTTGTAGGCTGACTCTTCCATGCAAAATCAAGTGTCTGCCATGTCTCTCGACTTTGGCCTGGATCATAAAGCATAAAAGATGGTTCCTGTCCTCTGAGGACTTTAATTCTTTCTGGGAAGTCAGAAAAGTGAATAAGATGAGAAAAACAATTCTAGATTGTTAGAGAGGTGGAAGCCAGATGCGGTGGTGCACACCTAGAATCCCAGCAGGAGCATGGTGGTTTGAGCCTAGCATGGGCAATTTTATTATTTTCCTGCATTTTTAAATTGGCATAGGGATGGGATTAGTTTGCATATCACAGATGCACACAATATAACAATATACTTCTATTTCTTGGTCCCTTTTCTTTACTTATCTCCCTTTGATTTTCATGAGATCCCTCACCTCTTTTTCCTCTCTATCTTCCACACTTGAGAGAAAACATAAGGCTCTGGACCTTTGACTTTTTTGCTTAGCATAATAGTCTCTAGTTCCATACATTTTCCTGAAAATGACATAATTTTCTTTGACTGAATAAAACCCATTGTGTGTATATACCACATTTTCTTTATCCATTCATCTGTTGATGGACACCTACAGGGTTCCATAGTTTGGCTATTGTGAATTGTGCTGCTATAAACACAGGATGCACAGCCTGTGCCATTTAGCAAGACTCTTCACAACTTAGCAGAGACCCTGTCTTAAATTAACAAAATGAAAATGAAATAAAAATGACCAGGAATGTAGCTCTGTGGTGAAGCACCCCTGAGCTCAGTCCCCAATATTAGAGAGAGAAGGTTACAATAATGTTCAAATTTTGTTCTTCAAAGTGCCTTCAGGAGCAAGAGCTAGACTTGTGGTAGCCCTGAATAGCTTATTACAACTTCAAGCATTAATTTTTGTGTCCTGTTAAGATTTTAATTTATGTAAATCTTTCTATACCATATTTACAATATATCCATATTTAAGATTGCTGATAACCACACGAGGTTTACAAAGTCCCCTGTTCTGGGGACTTTAAAATGTACTTTATCATCACAGCAATCCTCTACTTATCTTCCTCAGTTAACAGGCAGAAGCAGAGGAAGGTGCTGACAGTCAATCCAGAGAATTGATCTAAAAGCCCAGTTTCTGAACCTCTGCAGCAGTAGTTCTCAGCCCCTCAGGAATATTTGGCAATGTCTGGGGACATTTTGCATTGTTAAAGTTGGGGGTGGGAGGTCCTCCTGGCATCTTGTTAGTGAACGGCCCAGATAAATACCCCTCAGTTCCCTGGACAATACCCTCATAACAAGAACTCTCTGGCCCCAAACGTCAGCCGTGTCAAGGTTATGCAATAGCTTGCACCATACAGACATCTCGTGCAAATCACCTACCAGTCCAACCACTTACCATTCCCTTTCCCCAATTCCATGAGTAGAATTAGTGCTGCAGGAAGACGAGTCATGCCAATGTCATGGCCCAGGGTGTTGTGGACAGGGCCTAGCCTTGCTGACAGAGCTGTGTTAAAGAACTGGCTCTCTCTCACCTGCTGGACAACTTTGTGAGTTGCTTCTCCTGGGCTCCTTTTGCAATGTGTGATCTAGATCTCTGTTTCTCATCAAGGCATTAGTACGGCACCTGGCAACTTTTGGAGCTCATTAAATGTTGTTAAAAATCAATTAAAAGATGTCACATTGGTATATGATCGAGTACAGGTGAGTCACTTGGTAGCACGTGCCAGGAGCATGGAGCAGGTCAGAGCTGGCTGGAGACTAAAGCAGAGAGGAGGGAGGAGCTGGCCTGAGCCCCAAAAGGTTGGGGGGCTTGAATGGTCCATCATGGGCACCAGGGCAGGGATGGGACTCTTGGAATGTTCAGATCCCACTTTTAGGGGGAAATATGACTGGAGAAGAGGGATTATTTGGAAAGTGGTAAGCAACAGAAGATGGGAAGCCAGATTGGCCCACATCACAGCTGTGTTAGGGAAGCTCACCTGTGGAGAGATCTGGGGCCCAAACCAGGACAGCATGTGGGACTCCTTAGGCCCTGACCAGGGATATAGTAACAAACAATATGGTACCGAATCTGAGTGCTGTGAGGCGCTCCAGTTAGACTCTGTAGGTCCTGGTGCTGGTGGGAATCAGGGTGGTCAGAGGTGACTTTGAAAATGTGGGAGGATGAAGGCAGGAATCACAGGAAAGTTCTGCATGGGGCATGTGTGTGGATTGCCTGGGGCCAGCTAGATTCAAAGTGAATTTGAAGTGACTGGGGCTGTAAATGACCCTTGAAGACTGGAGGCCTGGGGTAGAATGCAGGCAGAGTGCATCTGCACAAGCATCCAGGGTGGAGGTGTTGCCTGGAGACCTTGATCATGGATTCCTTCTCCTGCCTTCCAGCTTCAGTCACAGGAAGTGGGACATGGACTCCTGCAGCAGAAGCATCTCCCCACCTGCCTAGTGCTGGGCCTTTGATCAGAACCTCTCACTCTGTGTATCAGGAGGCCCCCTTGCCTGTCATTCATCCATTTGGGTGTTTCCACATGATACGTGTCAGGCTGGGTCTTTGAGGGCTCAAGTCACATAGTAATTAGAGGTAAACATAGACCTTGGAGTCAGAAAAACTCTAAATCACGGCCATGACCTTGAGCCAAGTGGCTTCACCCTTGATTCTCAGTTTTCTCATCTATACAAAGGAAATAATCCTAACCCCTTACAAGGTTGCTAAGGGGAGTGGCAAACCAATTCATTAATCAGATAACAAATACTTCTCTAAACCCCGAATAGAATTACTAGCAGCTTCCTAATGGCCCAGTGTGGTAGGCCTCTTTCCAAACCTCATTTGCTTGTGGGAAACTGAGTCACAGAATGGTCAAGTGACTTGCCCCAGGTGATGGTGTCAAGGGAAGAACTGGAATTTGGTTCTAAAACCCTGTGGCATATCAAGTGCCCAGCTTAGCACCTGTCTGAAATAGGGAGTTTCAAAATTGCTAGTTTCTTTCCCTAAGCATCCAATTTTTTTTTAATGGTGCTGGGGATTGAACCCAGGGCCTCAGAGTCAGCTCTTTCTGAAAAACAAGTGATAGGTGATGTAGAGCCATCTTAACCCTTGTACATTGAGCTGTGCCTTTTAAAAGACTTTGGAAAATTAAAATCACCCACAATTCTACCCACTCTGAACCCTATGGAACATTTTTAGGATCCTGTTTACCTTGTGGAGATCATGCTGAAAATTGGACAAAAAGTGCCTTTTTCCCACAATTTGAAGTCTTTTTCATTGTAACATTTTTTAATGTCATGCTGTCACACTCTTGGATATACCATAATTAGTGCAATAATCTCCCTGTTTTATTTACAAATCCATAAAGCAACTGTCTTTTGGTCTATGTTGCATTCATTCTTTAATAAATATTTTGGGCATTGTCAACATGCCAGGTGGACTTCAGGCCCTTAGGACATAGTGATGAACAAGACAAAGCCCCTTTTGGGTAGTGCTTGGCATTCTGGTAGGCAGGAAATGGCCTGATTTAAGAAGAGGAAAGAGACAGACCCAGGTTCTTGGAAGCCCTCTTGCAAGAAGTGATCAGAACAAGGCAGTTAGTTCTGATTTTCCTGAGAGCAACTATTCCTAGGTTCCCAATTCCTAGAAGTAAAATGACTGAGTCAAAGATGCACAATGAATGTAAAGCACTATAGACACTTTACCAACTCATAGAAAATGAGTTTCCAGCAGTGCATATCTCACAACACCTTCTCCAGCATAGTGTATCATGCCTTTCAAAGATCCTTTTGCCACTTTGATAGTTGTTGTTAATTTTGATTTGTTTATCTTGAGATAACTAGTGAGGCTGCACTCCCTGTTTTTTAACAAGAATTTTTGCCATTTGTACTTCCTTTTCTTTGAATTTCCCATTTTAGTTCTTGGAATTGCTTTGTCTAATGTATTTCAAAGGACAAGGACTCTGGTCTGGGGCACAAGTGGTCTTACCTAAAAGCACACTCACTAGTGAGTGGCATTGCTGGAGTTTAAGCCAGGTCCATGTGTCACTCGTGACAGAAGACCCAGGTGGTAGGAGAGCAGGTGGTGTGAGGAGTGTGCCCAGTACACACATGTGTTTGCTAAGTCCACCGAAGAGGTCATGTGCAGATTTGTGGTCCCGCTTGCCATGATGCACGTGGCAGAAGGGAGCCCATCAGAGGGTCACAAGAATTTGGCCTTCCTCGATGGTGGATGGGTTGGTATTCCAGTTCAGATCAGTGCAAGAAGCTGTACAGGTGGAGACAAAGGAATTCAAAGCACAACTAAGGGTCTAAATGTGAGGCTAGAATGGACAAAATCTAAGAGGCTTGATGCAGTGGCAGCCTGGAGCATGGTGGAGGGAGGACTCGGGGTAGAACAAGCAGACCCCTTTCCCTTCCCAGTAGACGCTTCACCATGGATGGTTGCCCTTTCTCTGCCAGCCACATGCAGCCTCTGTTCAATGGCTGCTCTTAACGCTCTGTCTTCTGATCCACAGACCATGGCTCCTTGGCCTGAGTTGGAAAATGCCCAGCCCAACCCCAATAAATACATCGAAGGGGCCATGAGTCATCAGTCCACACCAGCCAAAGGCAAGGAGACTGGCAAAAGTAAGTGACGTCATCTGCCATGGGTGGGTCCCCTGCCAGGACCTGAGGAGTTATGGGTCTGATTCTCATGGCTGCTGCTTCTCTGGGCAGATGACAGCAGTGGTCCTGCAGCCAAAATTGAACTTTTGCCCTCGTACTCCACTGCGACTCTGATAGAGGAGCCCACTGATGTGGAAGACCCCTGGGACCTGCCCGCACTCCAGGATACTGGGATCAAGTGGTCAGGTAAACAGGAAGCAGCAGAGGCTGTTGTTCAATGTTACCTCCTTCTAGTCCCTCTTCCTCCTTCATTGGTCTGATGCTCTTAGAACCAGGGTCCTAAAGGTTGGGGACGTAGCTCAGGGGTAGAGCACTTGCCCAACACGTGCAAGTCCCTGGGTTTCCTTCCCAGTACTGGAAAATAAGAAAGAAAATTTCCCTTGGCTGGGAAAGCCACCCTCATTCTTGAGGATTAATATCAAAGCATAATAGGTGATGATCTCGTCTTTCTTTCACCCAGTGTAACTGGCACTGGGGTTATAACTGAGACAGACTGTTTGTGCTCCTTATAGTCAATGGTGTGCTCCCCCAGTTCTGGGTGTTATTGGAGGTGCTATGGACACAGGTGCTGTGGGTGGAGCTCCTCAGGGGTCCCTCAGCTAAGCATGGGCATCAGGGAAAGCTTCCAGAAGACGGGGAAGGCTCAGCTAGGACAGCTGGGGTGCAAGCAAACACCTCACTTCCAAGGGTAGGGTGTGAGGTCATACAGCCAGGTGGGGTGGAGAGGGAGGAATGGGGTTGGAGGGAAGAGGCAAGAACCACTCTAAAGTGAATCAAGGAAATAGCAGTCATGGGTGCAGCATCCCTGGATATAGAGGGGCCCAAGCCCTCCAAATTTAGGCTGTGATTGCTCCTGAGCAGCCTCATTCTAGAAAATCTTCTGGTGTTCTGAAGGTACTTTGGAGAGCCATTATCTCTGACCCTGCACTTAGCAGGTGACAGGTGCTCTTCACCGGTGACCTGCCCTGGGACCCTGTGGTTCAGCTGAGTGTGGAGCCTGCTCTGCCTGGTTGTGCTCTAGGCCACAATGAACCCCTCCACCCAGATGCAAATCCTCTATGACATAGCAATGTGGGGAGGGTGTCAAGGACATGGACCCAAGTGGTAACTGTTCAGGAAATCAGCAGCGTGTGTACCTCGTATCCCCAGGCCTCACAGAAGAGCTTCCTGCGGCCTGGCCAGGAAGGAGGTGGGGGCTGTGGGCTTCCCAGTGCTGTGGACACTGAAAGCTTTGTGCCTTCTTCCCCCCTCGCCCCACAGAGAGAGACACCAAAGGGAAGATCTTATGTGTCTTCCAAGGGATTGGAAAATTCATTCTGCTCCTGGGGTTCCTCTACTTGTTCGTGTGCTCCTTGGATGTCCTCAGCAGCGCCTTCCAGCTGGTTGGAGGTATGGGTGAAAGGCGTGGGGGTGGGGAGGCACTGCAGCGGAATTGGGTTCAGACAGTCCCCATTGAAGCCTTCTCTAGCTGTAGCCTTCCAGATGGCAAGGACTTGAACTGTCTCAGATCATCTTGGGAAGTCCACGTTCCCCTTTGTATAGAGGAGAAAACTGAGGCCCACACAGCTGTGACCCGGCCCAGGTGGCATGCCAGGAGCCAGGGCTGGAGCCACCGCAAGCTATCGCCCTCACCTTTGTTCACTAACCTCAGGCAGGAAGCTGTTTGACCCGAGGACTTATCTGAGGGATCCCTGCTGTCTCTCAGCCTCTCTGCCCAGAGATTACAGCATAAGAAAGAATGCTCTTAGCCCAGAGCAAGTCAAAAAAAAAAAAAAAAATCAAAGCTAGGGAAGGTCAGAGGTCCCAGGCTGGGGGAATCTGTATCCACAGCACATGGCCACACATCTCAGGCCTGAGTGGAACCCGGAAATAGGTCACCTGGAGCTTGGTTACCTTTGTAAAGAAGGCCTGGTCTCCACATTCCTTCTCAAAGCCCCTCCCATCTCCAGAGGGGAGGATTGAGGCTCAGATCATTCACCAGCCCCAAGAGTCAGCCTGTAGTTAGCAAGATTCAGTCTCAGGTTATCATGAGACACTATGGGATCCTGCACCTCTCAGTGTCTCTCTTGAGAGTCCATTTGTGCTTGGGAGACCATAGGGGGTAGGCTCTCATGGGGAAGCTTGAGGTGCAAAGTGCCTACTTGTCACTTCCAGTCCTCCCAATCCGTGGCAGCATCAGTGAGGGGCTCTGCTTCATCGCTTTCTGATAATCTCCAAGTAACATCCACTCTCTGACCTGGGTCTTCATTATAAAATGGATCAGGGAAGGGATGGAGGGGGTCAGAGGCATGCCCTCAAAATGACTCCGCCCGCATTCAATCATCCCCTGGGGCTGAGGATGGGGCTGGGGCTGGGTAGAGAAGAATGGGGAGGCCCTTGGGCTGCCACACAGTGAGGCCAGGTTCCTGATCAGAAGGTGAGCAAGAGGCCTGCTCATGGAGCCGTAAGGGTAAGAGGCTGCAGGGCAGGGGACCCGGAACACGGAGCTGAGGCTGACGGGGAACTAGGTCAGAGAGGTGGGCTGGGAGGCACTGGCAGCCAGATTTCCCCACTGACCAGGGGGGTGCAGGGAAGAAGCAAGAAGTGTTGGAGACTGTTTCCACTTCACGTGACCATTGAATCTGTCTTTCAGGAAAAATGGCCGGGCAGTTCTTCAGCAACAACTCCATCATGTCCAACCCCGTGGCGGGACTGGTGATCGGGGTGCTGGTGACCGTCATGGTGCAGAGCTCCAGCACCTCCTCATCCATCATCGTCAGCATGGTGGCCTCCTCATGTGAGTCCCTGGCGCCCTGTCCATCTGGGGAACCTGGAATTTACTCTGGGCCCTGTCACCATTATCTTCACATCTTGTCTTTAACTGTGATATGTCTCACCTTTGATCCCAGCAGTTTCCTGTTTGCATTGGATGGCTAGGTCCAAAAATAGACAGATGCTTGAGGTCTCTGAATTTTCTAGAAATATGGTATCTACTCCAACTGCCATTATGTGGCTGATTCCATTTAACCTTAATGGATTTAAAATATGAAATTCAATTCTTTTGTTCTGGCTGCAGCTTGAGTGCTCGGTGCCCCACGTGCCCAGCACCTGCCATATCAAACATTTCCATCAATTAAAGTTCCCTAGTGAGGCCCTAAGCAACTCAGCAAGGCCCCTGTCTCTAAATAAAAAGGGGATGTGGCTCAGGGTTTAAATGCCAATGAGTTCAATCCCTGGGTGCAGTGGCACATGACTGTAATCCCAGTAGCTTGGGAGGCTGAGGCAGGAGGATCGTGAGTTCAAAGTCAGTTCCTTGGGCTGGACAACTCAGTGCTAACCATAAAGGCACTTAATCATACCATACATTGGCTTTGGAACAACTGAGTTTGCAGACATTGTTCCAGACCTGCCCTGCTTGATATGTGCTCTGAGGTTGGGATGGACTTTGTGATGGCGATCACTTGTAACTGATTTTCAGCTCAAACCAGCATTTTAACCAATATGAACCAGAATTTTTTTGTGGGATAATTAAGAGAAAGATGATTAGTTTCCCATGTCAGAGAATGGTCATATGCTGATTTTGTTAGCAAAGGAAATGATCCTTTCAGGATTTGCCTGGGAAATACAGAGGACTTTGATGTCCACTGTGGGTCTGACTCCTCCTTAAGTGGAAGCCTTACTGCTCTGGGAAATGGAGTCCATCCCCTTGAGCCCTGGACTTATCCACTGTTCCTCAAACAGTAGCTGTCTGTATGCTTCTGGCCTCATTGGTAATATTGAGGAGAAAAAATTTAGAAGGCCATTTTTAAACTTGGATCCACAGGAGGGTTTCACCAGCTCTGTGGATGCCCCACAATTATGTACAGGAATTTTGGACAGTGGTTTAGCACAGCCACATGCATTCCTGTCCTAGAGGCTGAACAGGTGCTTTAAGGGACACCAGCCTTAGGGAGTCCAGCCCGCCCTGGGTCATGCAAGAGCAGCCCGGCTGTTTCTGAAATGTGCTAACCACTCTTCCAACCCCCAGTGCTGACCGTGCGGGCAGCCATCCCCATCATCATGGGGGCCAACATCGGGACCTCCATCACCAACACCATCGTGGCGCTCATGCAGGCCGGAGACCGCAGCGAGTTCAGGAGGTAAGAACCTCAACCAGCCTTTGCTGCCATCAGGCCTGTTGCACATTACGCTGAAGGACCCACCTGGTGCCACCAGCGCATGCTTGTCAGGCTCTTGAAGGCAGTAGGCAGGGAGTCCAGCTGGGGCTGGGGTCACACACTGCCCAGACTCTGCTCCCTAGTCTGCAAACTGGGACAATCATAGCATCTCTCCCCAACGGCTTATCCCAAGGATCCAACAGTCATGCCGGCGAGTGTTGGGCAGGGTGCCTGGAGCAAGGTCAGGGCTCAGTGCAGGCTTTCGCTGGAAGCTTGCTGCTAGTGGGGGAGTTAACACAGCCAGTCAGGGTAGGAGTTTCTGTCGCACTTAGTCATAAGTAATTACAACTTCCTAAAACTTCCATATTTGGCCAGCTCAGCTGGTGCCACTTTTTCTCCATTGTTCACAAGCATGCCAATAAAAGGCAAAAGGTCATTTTTGTGGATGTGTCAGGTCTGAAAATAGAGCAGGTTGAATATATAGGCAGAGGAAACCTTTTCTTTCAAAAAATGAATGTAAAAATTAAACCCATTTCCCGGCTTCTCTTCCCAGCGATGGGCTTTACCAGAGCTTATTAAAACAGAGACATGGTTGCCTGCATGCCTCTGTGATTACCTTGTGGTCAACCAGCTGACATTACTGCAGGATAATGGGGGAGAAAGCAAACGTCATCCCTTGTCTGTTGGTGAACTGGCAGCCAGTGGACGTCATTGGGGTCCTTCATTTTCCCTGAGCCACCTCATCTGGTCCATGATGAAATGTCCTGATGGTCACAGTAATAATACACACCAAGCTGGACGTATTCTAATTTGATCTTCTCATGGAGAAGCAGGGTTTTCTACAGCCCGTTTTATTCATGTTGAAGCTCAAGGAGGTGAAATGACTTCATTGCGGGGCACAGCTCGGAGTCCATCTGGGTTTCCCCATTTGAGATTTTGGATTCTTTTCATTGTTACAAGTGGAAGAATATCGATGTGGCTACATATAGGATACCATTGACTTAGCTTGCCTCCTGGATATTTCAATATATTTTCAACATCTTTCTTCCTTGTGGTTTGGGTTCCTTTATTAGATTCCTTGAATAATGATTTCTGCATTGAACATAAGGCTTGTAAAACATTTTGGCAAAACTACTAGAAAATATGTGAATCACTTCATTCTATCTTAACAGTGTATAATCCGTTTTTTTTTCTAGCGATGGGGATTGAACCCAGGGTCTCATGCATGCTAGGCAAATGTTCTACCGCTGAGCCACACTTCAGCCCCTGAAACTGTCTTGACTCACTGAGAAGAGTAAGACTTCATTAGAAAATAATAGCTAATAGGACAGATGAAAAATTACACTTGCCAATTTTATATTTACTAGTAAAGTGACCTCCCCATTTTATTAGCCACTTCTAAATATTCATGTTCCACATTCCATTTGGCTTAATGATTTCTTTTCCAGATGATTTTTAAAGGAATCATTTTTGCTTGAGGGAAAGCATAGTTTCTCAATCTGGAGGTGGGATGGAGTTCAGGGGGAACCAAGGACCTCCTTGGGTAGAGGCAAAGGGTGGCATATATAAGCTGGGCTTCCAATGGAGACTGTTCATGTTTCATCAGCCTCTCAAGATTCTTAAATGGTTAAGAAGGGATGTGATTCAAGCGGTAGCCTGGAATGTGTGTGGCCCGGGTTCAATCCTCAGCACTACATACAAAAACAAAGATGTTGTGTCCGCCGAAAAACTAAAAAATATTAAAATTCTCTCTCTTAAAATTCACGTGGGTAGAGAACTTTGTTACCTGCTGCTGGACTGATCAGGGAGGTTGCATTTGTGTGTGATTCAAAGAGGTCTTGGGCTGGGATGGTGGCTCAGTGGTTCAGCATTTTCTTAGCACGTGTGAGGCACTGGGTTTAATCCCCAGCACCACATAAAAAACTAAAAAAAAATGGTCTTGATGCTACTCCTCCAAATGGTATTTGCTGAGAGAATTATTCCAGACATACCTACTAGCTGGCCCTCCAGTGCAAGGGGAATGGTAATACCACCCACTTTGGGAATTGCAATAAGAACAGAACTGAGATTCTACATCCGTGCACACACTGGACAGCAGCTAGCAAGAGCCCGCTGGATGGGTGTCCTTGCCTCCTTGACTAACCTGAGGGCTGGGTTCCCTTCCCACAGGGCTTTTGCAGGGGCCACCGTCCATGACTTCTTCAACTGGCTGTCTGTACTGGTGCTCTTGCCCCTGGAGGCTGCCACCCACTACCTGGAGATTCTGACCAACCTGGTGGTGGACACCTTCCACTTCCAGAATGGAGAAGATGCCCCAGCACTTCTGAAAGTCATCACAGATCCCTTCACGAAGCTCATCATTCAGGTACCACTATACAGGAAAAAGGGCATCCCATTCCCACCCCACCCACCACACTGAGCCTGTAAGGAGATGAGGGTTTATACACACGGCTCAGTGGTACCTCTGAAAAAGGCTCAGGGAGGCATATTTCAGGACTCTAGGAGCATCAGGTCTTGGACTTCAACAAAAATTCCTTGACTCCAACAGTGTGTGTGTCTTTGGGGGTGGGGGGACGGGCAGTGAGCACTTTTCAGGGATTGTTCACCAGACACTTGAACAACTTTGTCCTCATTGCCATCTCTGGACCCACTGTTATCCTACTCCTTGGCTACTGCCCTTTCGACCAGGGGCCATCTCCCCGCAGTGGTCTCTGGTGTCTGCCGTCTGGTTTTCTCTGGCAGTCAGTTGGTCAGGAAATAGCTGCAGCCTGCTTCCTAAATAACAGTGCTCTTGCTCATTGGCCAAAAGCACTCATTCTTCTAGTGATCACTTGGTAATACCTGGATACTCGGCCGCACCCTGGGGGGTGCAGACAGGATGCAAGGGCTCACAGTCAAGCTCACCTCCCCAGAAACCCTCTCACAGCAACACCTGCATCTATCTCCTCAGTTCTGAGGATGGGCTGACGGTCTTGTCTATTTATTGCATTCCTCAGCTGGATAAAAAAGTCATCCACCAAATTGCAATGAATGATGAATCGGCCCAAAACAAGAGTCTGATCAAGATTTGGTGCAAAACTTTTACAAATACGGTATGTTTCCAGGAATAATATTATTGGGTGGGTGAATCCTGGCAGTCTTTCAAGGAGGCAAAGAAAAAGGGGAACCAAAAATGGAAATGCCTAGAAAATCAAAATATTGGCCAGTTGAGTGTCAAGTTTGTGAAATGATGGCTGGACTCAAGCCTCCCACTGAGCCACGGATATGCTATGCCAGTTTTGTTAGGTGTCCTGGATAAGGCAAGCCTTGTGCCTCCTATTTTGGAGGGAGGCCCATGGAACCTGTGTGACCCACTGTATGGACCGGGCAGCAGGTGGCATCTCCCACTTTCCCTACTCTTCCAGAACATTCCTCCCCAGGTGGTCGATAGGTTCTTGCCTGTGTCAGGGAATCTGCCCCCCTGTGCAGTAGGGGTGCCGCTCACCCTTGTTTCCAGGGTACATATGTGTTTGGTCTTTGTGGGGTAAAGGCCAAAAACTAAAAATGAGATTAAAAAAAAAAGTCTATTGGTCTTAGTTTTTCCAAGAACTTTTAAAATCAAGATGGAAAAATTCTACTGATCACGTTTCCAAGCATTTCCCACCAAAATTTTGTTGTGGCATGTTCATCTCTTAGACTCAGATGAATGTCACCGTCCCCTCGCCTGAGAACTGCACTTCCCCTTCCCTCTGTTGGACGGACGGCATCTACACGTGGACCATCAAGAACGTGACCTACAAGGAGAACATTGCCAAGTGTGAGTGGACTCAGCAAACCAGCCAGGGACAGGCTGTCTGGGGGGGGAGGGGTAAGGAGGCTTCTGGGCCCAGGAAGTAGGGCAAAGAAGGCAGCAGAGGCCTAGCACAGGACCTACCTGAGACACGAGGAGTGGGCTTTTAAAACAGAAGAAGCCACAGCTTAGGGACTAAGGGACAGGCCCAGGGTCCCAAGGGAAGGGGCAGAATGAGGACCTGAAGCCCAATGTGGGACCCACACAGGACAAATGATATCCAGTGAGTCCCTTCTGCACAGCTGGCCCCATGAAAAACAGCCTGCCTGAGGCTGTGATTCTTTTAATAAGCTGTAATGTTGCCCTTGGGATCTTTTCCAAATCAGGTATCCTCAGTTCTTCTAATTGTTCCTTAGGGACCCTCTTATAGTAGATCTTCTCTCCCTGTACAGCTGACATTAATTCTGAACAGTATACCTTTGCTCTAGATGTGACTTATATCACAGAATTTAGTGACCCTGTCACCTCCAATGCTACACATCCATGTGATATAACTGTGCTTTGCTGGACTTAATATGGGGACACATTGTGACTTTGCAAAACAAGGAGTTTTACCAGTAGCAATACCTCAATGCTTTGCTGTATCTCAAGTTACAAAAACAAACAAACAACAAAAACCCCAATGGGATTTAGAGGCAGAAGGAATGGACTGTGGACACAGATCTGCCCTTAACTAGCTGGGAATTTTTTTTAAACCCCCTCATTTCATTTTCCAGCCTCAGGATGTCTGACTGTCTGAACACTGTCTTAGGGCTACAGTTAGCTGCAGAGGAGTCTGGGAAGGGCTGTCTTTATTCTGAGCTGCCATGTGTGTACCCAGGATTCTGTTACTGTGAGGGAGGATACCAGAAAAAAGGAATCTGAGCCTCATGGCTCCTGCCCCTTCTGACAAGGCTTTCTGTGTCTCCAGGCCAGCACATATTTGTGAATTTCAACCTCCCGGATCTGGCTGTGGGCATCATCCTGCTGATTGTCTCCCTGATGGTCCTCTGCGGCTGCCTGATCATGATTGTCAAGCTCCTGGGCTCTGTGCTCAAGGGACAGGTTGCGGTTGTCATCAAGAAAACCATCAACACTGGTATGTGTACCACCTCTCCTACACCTCCGGCCTACCTGGGGAATAGGATCATGCAGCCAACCCGGGGGCTCCTTTGATTCCCATCTTGTAATGGCGTGTGTGTGGAATCTCTCTCCGATCTAATGAGCTGCAGAGGTTAAGATGGGAGTTCTCCTTCATGTCCTGGTGGTCCTGGGGCAGGCACATGCTTCCATCACGGGTCAGCAAGGGCCTGAGAAAGCCAGTTTACATCCAGAGCCACGAGGTGGGCCTTCCCTTCTGGCTGGTTTTCTAGATACTGAGTCCTCCCTGGGTCTCTGAGGAGCCCGTGGAAAGGGTAACAGGCATCCACCTTTGTCTTTACTTCTCTTCATTCTTGAAAGGAAATGTGATTCTCCATAAATAGCTTAGCATCCTCAGGTAGCCAGTGAAACTCACTGGCCAAGAAGAGCTCCCAGTAGAGGGTCCCAGCCAATGAGAGCTCACCAAGCAATGACGTCACCACCCCTGCACTCTTGAGGGAGGGACTGTTGCACTGAGCATGAACTGAAGGCTGGCAAGGCCGGCAGGGCCTGACCCGGTGCAGGTGGGGCAGAAGGCTGGGTTCTTCGGGTTGTGCTCAGCAGCTGCGTGTTCTTCACACTCCATTAGGTGGAAACAAAGGTGGAAGGTATGAGTGATCTACACCAGGGAGAAAGTGCTAAGCTCTACGCTGGCCAGGGCCTTTGGGAGGATGTTCTTTTCCGGGCACTCAAGTTTTTCTAACCAGGCCTCCGTGCATGTTGTCTGTATCTTCGTAACACCTATGTCCCTGGCTCACCTGGATATGCAGGGTCAAAGTCAGCTGGGAGAGAAGCAGGGGCCTGAACCTCCACCTGGCCCCCAAGATGATGTGGGGGGCGTGGCCTCAGCCTCCAGCCTGCTCTGTTCCTGGGGTCCTAAGGAGGTGCCGGCAGTGCATCTTGCCAAGCTTTGCCCGGGGGTTCTTAAGTCTTCTTCCCCTCTGTCTTCCAGATTTCCCCTTTCCCTTTGCCTGGGTGACCGGCTACCTAGCCATCCTCGTCGGAGCGGGCATGACCTTCATCGTGCAGAGCAGCTCAGTGTTCACATCTGCCATGACCCCTCTGATCGGTAAGTTTCTCCTTGACTTCTCTCTTGGGCCTCCCTTGCCATTTGCAGTCACCCGGAGGGCTGATGTCATGTGCTCTCTTTCTCCAGGTATCGGTGTGATAACCATTGAGAGGGCTTATCCGCTCACTCTGGGCTCCAACATCGGCACCACCACCACCGCCATCCTGGCCGCCTTAGCCAGCCCGGGCAACACTCTCAAGAGTTCTCTCCAGGTGGGGACATGCTGCAGGAGTGGGTCCCTGGTTTTTTTTTTTTTTTTTTTTTTGAGACAGGACTCAAGTTGCGGAGGCTGGCCTCAAACTTGATCCTCCTGTGTCAGTCTCCCAAGTCCCTGGGATTATAGGCACACACCACCAAACCCAACTGGTAGCCATATTTTTAAAGAGTAAAATACAGGGAGGTTCATTTTAATTTGATTTAATTCATTATCACACCAACATATGATATTTCACATTCTTTTACACTTGGGGCGTATCTCAGTGTAGACTAGCCCTGCTTCAAGTGCTCAGGATTTCCTGTGGGCTTGAATCCCACCTTGGACATCTCCCATTTGTGGGACTTTAGGAAACGCTGAACCTCATGATTCAGTTTTCTCATGTAGGGTGCCTTGGACTGAAGGAACCCACATAAAGTCCTTGGAATGGTGAGAACACCATTCCAAGGTGAGAGCAAACGCAGCATGGGTTCCAAGCCAGCTGGAACTTCTGCAGGCCTTCTGCCCACCTGCTCCTACCTGCTTGGCTGGAGCAGTGGAACCACGGCCCGGGGAAGAACTGGGCAAACCCATTGTTAGCTGGCGCCTTAGGAACCCCAGGTCCTGAAAACTGAGCTGAGAGACAGCCTGGCCACCTCCCTGGTCCCCCTTCAGGTTTCCCAGAAGCATCTGTAGCTTTTCAGGAAGGACTCTGCTAGGTGGCCGCCCTCCTCACCTGTCCCACCTCCTGTGTTTCAGATCGCCCTGTGCCACTTTTTCTTCAACATTTCTGGCATTTTGCTGTGGTACCCAATTCCGTTCACCCGCCTGCCGATCCGCCTGGCCAAGGGGCTGGGCAACATCTCCGCCAAGTACCGCTGGTTTGCCGTGTTCTACCTGATCTTCTTCTTCTTCCTGACCCCGCTGACGGTGTTCGGCCTCTCGCTGGCCGGCTGGCCCGTGTTGGTGGGCGTGGGGGTGCCCATCATCCTCCTGCTGCTGCTGGTGGTCTGCCTCCGGCTCCTGCAGTCCCGCTGCCCACGTGTCCTGCCCATCAAGCTCCGCAATTGGAACTTCCTGCCCCTGTGGATGCACTCCCTGAAGCCCTGGGACAACCTCATCACCTTGGCCACCAGCTGCTGCCAGCAGCGCTGCTGTTGCTGCTGCCGCGTGTGCTGCCGGGTGTGCTGCCTGATGTGCGGCTGCGGCAAGTGCTGCCGCTGCAGCAAGTGCTGTGAGGACCTGGAGGAGGTGCAGGAGGTGCAAGGTGTCCCCATGAAGGCCCCCGAGGCCTTCGAAAATGCTGTCATGAACATAGAAGCCCAGGATGAGGTCAAGGCCCACGCTGATGTCCTGGGCACCAAGGCCATCTGCAATAGCACGGCCTTCTAGGACCACCCGGAGGTTGGGGGGACCTCAGGTGCTGAGTGCCCCGCCCTCCCTGCCTTCGCATGCTTTCCGCTGCCTCACAGGGATTTGTCCCTTGTGGGGAGCTTGACGTCAGGCCTAGCTCTTCTTCCCTTACTCAGACTGTCAGCTTCTGTGCCCTAGGGCCCCCCTCCCAGAAGGCACAGGGCATCACGGAGGGAGATGAGGACAACCAAGGTGGCCAGGAGGTGGCCACAGCCACTCCTACACACAGGTGAAATAGGATGTTCTCAGACTGAACCTGCTTTTCAGAAAGAACCGCCCCCTCCTCCAGGAGGGATTTATGGAAGGTTCTGGAAGGTACCCATGTAAGGGTGTGTATATATACATGTACAAAGCTGTTCTCCATTGTGATAAAGCCCAAGGGCCTCTTTCTTAGCAAAAACTGACTTCCCCCAAGAGTTCTTGCTCACAGCCCTCCTCCCTGCCCCAGAGCTGCCCTGTTGAGGGCAAATAGCAATTGTTTGGAGACTTGGACAAGAGCATGGGAGGTGGGCTTCCCACTTCTCAATGCTCTCCACTCTGTCATGACTTCCCCTCCTGGGCAGGTGTGGGTGGCCCAAAATTTACCTGCAGTGTCTTTGTCCTCAAATTTTCAGGATGGGTGCCAGGCCTGAGCTACAGAGAGGGTTAGGATACATTTTGGTTGATCCTGTGCTGGGCTGATGGCGGATGAGAACAGGGAATGGTTAGCATTTGGGGAGATGTTGATTGGCCAGAGGACCTCAGGCTAATTAGAAGTCAAATTGATTGACAACCATTGAGGCTACATTGATGCCACTTCCTTGGCCAGATAGTTCCCATTGGAGCCCTTGAAACAGAACAGGCAAGTCTCACTCCCTCCACTGCTGTCATCTCTAAGGCCAGGAATCACCTGCTCCTGGGACAGGTCTGTTTGCCTCCAGTTCCTCTTTTGTGTAAGATGACTTCTGGGCCAGTGGTCAGCTTCCATCCATGTTCACACCCACACATACATGCACTGAAGTCTCCATTCAAACATTTCCACCCTCTGTGCCTGTGAGTCTCCGGACTTTTCTAGGAAGATAACCAGGTGCACCTAGATTGCCCTGGGAACCATGATTACATGTGACTGAGGTCTAAGGGGTGGCTCCATGTCCCAGGTGGCCTCCTCTCTTCCTTCATTTACACCATTGCTGCTCACCTCATCTGTTGTAATTCTTCCTTGGAAGGTGAGCTTCAGGCTTATCTGAGACCAAAGTATCAGTGCAGCTCTGCCGTCCTCCCCCATCCAGGCATCTCCATCTTGTCAGGTTGGGATACCAAGCTGAGCCCTCTCTGACCTTCCCCCCTGTAGATACTAATTCCCCAAAAAGAGCCATTTATACTCTGTTATTTATAGTCACGCATCTGTACAGCATTTTTCATAAGTTATATAGTAAATAGTCTGTGATTTGTGTTTTATAGTGTCTCATTTGGAAATGAGACAGGGTTCTTGTGTTTTATAGTGTCTCATTTGGAAATGAGACAGGGTTCTAAGATGTAAAGCACAAAAGACCACCTTTGTATATTTTGTAATACCGCCTTCCAACCTGCCTCTGGCCATGCCACCCTGCACGCTGTAAATATGTAAGTTAACCTGGGCAGTGGCCGTGGCTACCCTTGCACTCTGATTTTTAAAAATGGAATCCTTGTACCTGAGTTGATTGTATTTTTTTTAAACTGGTTATGGGAAGGAAAAAATAAAAATGATCACACCCAGAAGGAGTGTGTTGTATTTATCTCCTAAAGATGGGAGGTAACCCTTGTCTAACCCTCAGCACCCACCACTGGGGCAGTTGCACATTTTGTGGGGCCTTCTGTGAAAATTTAGGGGGAGGACCATTATAGCTACTTGAACACACAAAGCTTTCCTTTGTGTCTCCTTGATGTGCAAGGGAGACTGGCTATTGAGTGACAGACATTCAAATTTAAGGTGTCAGTATGAGTGTCACAAGTGTGCAATGGCAGAGCTTTTGTGTGATCATTGTATCACTGGACAGCCGAGGTAGTACATGTCTTCCCAGTGACTATGGAGGCTGAGGCTCAGCAACTTCGTGAGACCCTGTTTCGAAATTTTGAAAGGCCTGAAGATGTGGCTCTGGTACAGTGTTCCAGGGTTTGATCCCCAATTTAAAAATCCAAAAGAAACTTCATGACTTGTTTAAAGCTTGGCTGTGCTTTGTCCCCATCAGAATGGAGGGGATGCTGTCAAAGCTGGATCTTGTTGGCTTCACTTCTCTCTGCACACATCTGCCAACACTCTGCCTTTCTTCCCCCTTTTTTTTTTTGGTACCAGGGACCACCGAGCCACATCCCCAGACCTCATATTTTGTTCAGAGACAGTGTCTCAGTAAGTTGCTGAGGCTGCCTTTGAATTCACCGTCCTCCTGCCTCAGCCTCCTGAGCCGCTGGGATTGCAGGCATGCACCACTGTGCTCTGGAAAACACTTGTCTTTCTGATGAGTAAGGAAGAGCTGAAAGAAAAAGAACCAGGGCCGCCTTTCTGTCATCTTTTCTAGCCCAAGTGGTTGGCTAATGAAGGCTCTGGTAGGTTCCTTGGTTGTGTTTCCTGCAAAGCCAGTGTCTTTGGGGCTACATTTTAAGAGCTCTGGTTTGGATTAAAAGTGTGGCCTTTCCATGCTGTCAGTCCCCTCTCCCCCACAGGTCCCTGCCCACCACCCCATGTGAGTTAATACTATTAAGAATATTTTGGGTGCTAGGGCTCAGGCTTTCACAGTGCTCTGCATTGAGCTACACCCCCAGCCCAGGAAAGGATTTTAAATTAAAAAAATGTGTGGGAGAAATATAAACTGGGAGCACTCATTTTAGGCCAGCTGAGGCATTTGCTTAGGGCTGGGTCAGTATTGTAGGGCAATGCTGAATTTGCGCTTGGACCACCTGGAGACCTGGGTCTCCTGTTAGTAACTTTCTCAGTGTTGATTTCCTCAACCGGAATATGGGACTATAAACTGAAATTAATGAATATTAAAATAAGGATAATCAACCCCTCCCTATCCTGAAGGCGGGGGGGGGGGGGGGGGGGGGGGGGGGGGGGGGGGACTGTTTCTAGGACTATCACCTCCTGCTTGCAGACACCAAACTCAGAGATGCTCAAGTTCTTATGTACAAGCCTAGCTTGTGCATGAGCAAATGTGTAAAAACAAATCCCACCATTATATGTCACAATACACCAATAAAAATGTGGAAAAAAGGCAGCAAAAAAGTACTTTTTTTCTTACCAAATTATCACACTGTACTCCATAAACATGAATATTTTAAGTAATAAAGTTTAAAAATAAAAGAGGTTAGTATTCTTTCATATATCTTAAGTCATCTCTGGGCTACTTGTCATACCTAATGCAATTAAATGCCATGCAAATAGTTATCAGACTATTGTTTAGGTAAATGATGACAAAACAATTCTGTACATATTCAATCAAGTATTTTCGATCTGAATTTTGTTGAATCTGTGATGCAGAAGGTGTCTGCATGACCGTAGCCCACGGACACGGAGGCTGACTGTGGTGTATGTGAACCATCCTGGCTGGGTTGGTTGCTGAAAGTGCTTGGCCTTGCCTTGGGTCTCACAGTGCAGAGACCCCCTGTGCCTGGCAATGACAACATAGGACACTTTCTACCCTTGTTTTCTTTTTTTCCTCTGAGTATTTCCAAAGCGAAATGCCAAGAAACCTGCTATCAATACAAAGAACAGACTGGAAGTGGTTTCAGATTTGGGGTTAGGAGGGCAGAAGTGTCATGTAACCTGGGGTGATTGTGAGGACTGGGCTAAGACGCCACAAGAGGACAGGATGCAAAGAACACTCATCATCAGTCCCAGCCAAGGGCAGTGGTGGTTGGATTTAGATTTGCTTTGTGGGTGGACTGATAGTCCTCCCAGCTTTTTGAGCAACTGTTATTCGAGCTCTGTGACACTCTTCCAGACTTGAACCTGTGTGCTTGATTTCATATTTGATTTTATTTCTTAATTTTCTCATTTATGTTGAGTACCTAAGAAAGGATAACAGGAAATAAAGCTTTTTGAGTGTGTGTGTGTGTGTGTGTGTGTGGAAATATTTGATCTGCTCAACTGAGAGGTTATATGAAAGCCACTGCCTTGGTCTATGGTCTATGGAAAGAATTGCTCATCTTAATGATAAGATGAATATAAATAAGATGATAAGGATCTTAGCAATAAGAGTGAGGAAGGCCACCTAACACCATCGTCACTTGTGCATAAGCCACTGTGGGTCGCCCAGCACCTTCCTGCCAGGTGAGGACCCCAGGAAACCCAACATGCCAACTTGCTGACCCGAGGAAAAAAATGGTAATTACATTAGGCCCCATGTTTGGGGGACACTGTTACACGGAGTAAGATAACTGATACAGCACTCTACTCTTTGGAGCGGAGACTTGGGCTAAAGTTGGCTCCATTTCCTACACCTTATTTCCCATCCCCTGTCTTTTCCGTGGCTCCTTTGATTTAGTTCCCTCACAGAAAAGGCCTCTCTCCTGTGTGGAATGGCAGAGCAGATCTATAGTTCCTCCAGGGTCTATTATTTAATTATTAGCTTTGGCATAATGTCACTGGTGTGTCACATTTGCAGAATAAATCCTCCTCCTCGGGCACTGGGTGATGTTCAGCCTGTGAGCGCTGTGTAAATCACGCTGCCATGAGGTAGGATCACGCCTTCTCATTGGCCCACATACTACACAGCATCCGAAGAGGTTTTGGGCCTGCCTGTTAGGGAGAGGTTGTGCTTTGGCAATCTTTACTGCCTTAGAGTCTCAAGAAGTCAATAAATCACATCCTTTTCTTTCCATACAGAATTTGGAATCCATCAAAAAATAAGACATAGCAGACAGACTGATGGAGATGAAAATATCTATTTTATGACCAAGAGGCTGATTGTAAGACGTGGCTGTGTGTGTGTGTGTGTGTGTGTGTGTGTGTGTGTGTGTGTAGGGAATGGGGACGGAGGGGCGGAGTAACACTTTGCCCTTAACTTAAACCACAGCTGACCAGCACAATGGGCCATTTCTCAAGCTGAGCACACCTGCTTCGTATCAGAGTGGAGGTCCAGTTGTGAGGGCTGTGGAAGCTCCAGTGCCCTCACCCTCCTGGAGACCGCAGGGGAGTGCTCTGGATAGCCTCATTGGTTCATGATGCCTGAAGAGATAGGAGTTAGTTTGTTTTGAGATTGGGTCTTGCTATTTTGCCCAGGCTGGTCTCCAGCTCCTGGGCCCACATGATCCTGCTTCAGCCTCCCATGTAGCTGGGACTTTAGGGACCCAGCAACCATACCCAGTGAGACAGAAGTTATTCATCTCCGCCTAATAGATAAAGAAGCAGCAGTTCTTAGAATCCGGTCAACAGTCCAAGACAAGGGGATTACACCTGAGAGCCCATTGTGCTGACCACTGAACCATGCTGCCTGTGACTCACTGACAGCCAGGTACGGAGGTCATGAGCAGACGGGCAAGCAGGCACTGTCATGTGAAGTTCTGGCAGGAAGAAGTTTGGGAGTCGGTGTGGAACAGTCCAGGGGGAAGGACAGTGAGCCTGGGACTCAAGTCTTAACCAACAGCACCAACATGTGCCCACGCACCCACTGTTTGTAACAACTCTGAGACCAGGCCCCTCGTCCTCCTTACCTGTCCCGGCTCCTCACCACTGAATGCAGTGTGTGTGAAGGGCACACCATGCTCAAAACAATAGGAAAAAAGCACATAAAATGGCTCCTTAATGTCTTATGGTTACATGATGAAATGTAATACTTTGGATATATGGGGATAAATAAAATATATTAATTAGAATTATTTTTACCCATTTCCTTTTACCTTTCTAGTATGCTTACTAGAAAATTTAAACCACATATATCAAATATTAGGGATCCAACAGAGATATACCCTGGAGACTGGAGTGCATGGCTCATAGTATATTTCTCTTGGACAGCCCTGATAAGGAAGAGCTGAATGATGTAATCAATAAGATCAAACATGAAATAAAGCTTTGCTAGTTCTCAAAGTTCACTATAAAATGTCATTCAAGAAAGCAACTTTGCTCTCTAACCAATATTAAAACCACAACTAGAGCTGGGCACAGTGGAATGTACCTGTAATCCCAGCAACTCCAAAGGCTGAGGCAAGAGGATCCTAAGTTCAAAGGCATTCTCAGCAATTTAGTGAGGCCCTAAGCAACTTGGAGAGACCATCTCAAAACAAAAAGTTAAAAAAAAGGGTTGGGGATATGGCTCAGTGGTTAAGCACCCCTAGGTTCAATTCCTGATATCAAGGAAAAAACAAAAACAACTAAAATCAACAAAATCTTAATCCTATGAAAATACAGGAAGTCTCTCCTAAATAACTTGTTAAAGATGAGAACAATATAGCAACCCTGAGAGACCCTGATAAAGCTGTAATTAACGGCAAATTCAAAGTAGCAAAATCTTTCATTAAGAAATGAATGGAAGGGAAAGTGACTGAATTAAGCATCAGGCTCAAGAAGTTCTAACAAAGCATCTCAAAGGAAACCCTGAAAAAGAATATGCAAAGACAGAAAAGAAAATAGGAGAGATAGTCAGATTAAAAACAAAACCACAATAAAATATATAACATTTCACTTGTATGATAAAGAAATTGCATACATAAAAGTAGCACACATTTGTGGGACACTTCCTGTGTACCAGGATTAAGCTATGCACTTCACCTGCTCAGGTTCACCT